CCCCGCGCCGCCGCCGGCCCCCCTGCCCGCCACCCGCAAACCCCCCATGCGCCGGCTGTGCCGGCACCCGGGGATGGGAATGAGGGGGTGCCCTGGATTTCCCAAGGGAATCGCCCCGAAACTGCAAGGGAGGGTGATGCTGCGCTGCAGTGGTGCTGGGTTGCACCGTCCTGCGTGTGCACCAGTGTGCATGAGCATGCATGTAACTGCAAGTGCATTGCATGCGGCATGCGGATGGCTGCAGCCACCCCTGCCGTGGCTCTCAGAGCTGCTTTTACTTGTGTTTTCATGCACTTTTAAGCCCGTTTGGGAGCAGGAGGCAGCCCGGGCTGTCCCGTGCAGGTGGCGGATGCAGGTGCTGGACCCGCTGCAGCGCAGATGGGAGAAGTGCAAGAGTTTGGGTTCCCACTTGCAGCTCCCGCAGGGAATTAAGGGGGAAAAAGGGAGAAAAACCCAAGGGCAGAGGCTCATCTGGGCCCTGGACGTGCCTGGGCACTGCAAATCGCAGCCCCCCAGTGCAAACCCTGCAGGGAAAGGGGGGAAGACGCAACTGGGGAATGTGCTTTGGGATGCCAGGTTGATGCTGCGGTGCTGAGCCCGGGGGAGCTCCGTGCCAGCGCGCCCGCCTGGAAAGCCCTATCCCGCTTGGTGGCAGCGCCGGCTCCCCACCGGCACCTACCCCCCTGCCCCTGCCCGGGGTCCCTATGGGGCCACCGTGAGCAGAACCCCTCAGCATCCCGCCGGGATGCGGCCCTGGGGGAGGAGGAGCAGGAAAGGCCACTCACCGATTTTTTGGGTCGGCCTCGAGGTTTTCTCCCTGGTGTGACTGCCGCTTTCTGAGCGCAGCAGGGCAGGGAGGGGAACAATAAATATTAATACTAAAGAAAAGGGGGTTTCGGTGAGGATGGGGTTTGTGCCGTGGCCGGTTCCCGCTGTGGGCGGCCTCCCCCTCCCTCCCGGCCCCCTGCCAAATTCATCACCCCGGTGGCGTCCCCGGGGGCGCCTGCCCGGCGCGGCCGTGACTCACGGCGCGGGGGCAGGATGTGAGCAGGGTGTTTTGCAAACAGGTTTCTCATGGTGCACGCGCAGCTCGGCTCCGTGTGCCGGGAGGAGCATCCCTTGGAGCCTGGGGACCAGCATCCCTCCAGAACCCACCCCTGGGGACCAGCATCCCTATGGTCCGCTCCCAGGGACCAGCATCTCTCTGGGACCCCTTCCCAAGGACCAGCATCCCTCCAGAACCTACCCCTTGGGGACCAGCATCCCTATGGTCCGCTCCCAGGGACCAGCATCCCTCCGGAACCACCCCCCCAGGGACCAGCATCTCTCGGGTCCCCTTGGGGACCAGCATCCCTCGGACCCCCCTTCTATCTCCATTCCCACCACAGACACCTACCCTGCCTTTGGGGGTGGCCTTGTTTTTACTGCCCTTGGGTCGTCCGCGCGGCCTCTTGGGGGTGGGCGCCTCGCTGGGCTCCTGCTGGGGGGAGAGCGGCGGCTGCTGAGCACGGGGCCGGGATGCTCCGGGATCCTGCGGCCCCAGGGCCAGGATCATCCTGGCCAGCAGCTACTTTCCCGTGCGTGCGAGGATGGGAAGTGCTGGATGGGGCCCCCCATTCCCCTCCAATAACATTTCCACCCCCACTTTAACCAGCAGCATCTCCGTGCCCGTTACTGCAGCCCAAACTTGGCAAGAGGGAGTGGGCACAGAGCAAGGGGCAAGTCCCTCTGGCTGCAGGGGGACACGGGGGGAACCCCCCCCCCCCGAATGGGGGCTGCACCAGGGAGCCAATTCCAGCTTGGAAAAGGCTCCAGCAGCACCTGATCCTTCTGAGCAGCTTTTGCTAATGTGGCTTTAATTAGCCCGGCGCTAAGAGCAGGTTCAGCCGCAGCTGGGGGGAGCCTGCAAGTGCTGGGAGGCCCCTCAGTCCCATCTGGGTGTGGGGCCGGCTGTACCTGCGGCTTCTTCCTGGGCCGGCCCCGGCCCCTCTTCTCCGCTGTGTCCTTGTCCCCCTTGGATGTCAGGGCCTGGCTGGATTTGGCGCTGGATTCGCTCATCTTCCTGCTGGGAGTAAGGGAAGGGGGACAAGGTGAGCGCAGGGATGTCACTGGGGGGTCCCACACACCTCCCCATAGCCCTGGCTTCCGGAGCCGCTGTGCTGTGCTTGGCTCCAGGAACAAGGAGAGGAATGGGATGGAGCCACCTGGACCAAAGCAACTGCCTCCAGGGCTTTCCCAAAGCCTGGAGTCATGGGCATCACCTGGTCTGCTCCTGGGACCACTACTCCAGCTGCAGCACCCAAGGGCTCCGCTGGCCTCAAGGGGAGGCTTCATCCTCCCCTCCCTGCAGCACAGGGGAAAAAACCTGTTTTCCAGAGCCACGAGGCCTCCGGGTGCTCAGCAAGGAGCTGCATGGCTAAACGGACCGGCTGCTCCGGGCCTCAACTGGCTCCGTGGGAAAATCCCAGTGTGTCTCCCGGTGATGCCTCCCACATCCCAGCTGCAGCCCTGGCATCGCACGTGGGACCCAGGCAGCTCTCAGGGGGGCTGTGGGGAACTTGTCCTCCTTCTGCCCCCCCATCCTGCTGCCAGGCTGTGCCCAAAGGGATAAGGATGCTCCATTTCCAGCATCTGGCTTCAATTTGGATGCTGTGACAGGGCTGCTCCGGGCGCCCGGGGCACCGACCTCGGAGGCTGCTGCAGAGACTCGTCAGCTCCCGCCCGGGCCGCGAGTGACTCAGAGCATGAAACAACAACAACAAAAACCACCCGCGGGAGAGAGAGAGAAACCACGGAGCTCCGTAAACACCCCAAAACGTCCCTCTCGGCAGCCCTTCCAGCGCCTCCCTTCACGGAGCGCTTAACCTCCATCAAGGGCTTAGGTGCAGAAAAGCAAAGAGGAGGCAACGGGACAGGACCCGGGCAATTCCCCAGAGGAATTGCATCCCCGGCACCACTCTGGATCCTCTCCCCCCACTGTGGATGGGGGGCCCAGGGTCTCCCCATCCTCCTTGGAGGATGGTGCATGCGTCTGAGAGGGACCCGCCACCACCTTGCCCAATGAGGAGACCCTGGGATGGCTCCCGATGGGAAGATGCTCCCAGCTGGGGTGGGGGGTATCAGAACCTGCTGGTGCCTGGGGGGGGCAGCTGTGCTGCCGCCTCCGGTGCTGCAGGAAGGAGCGCGGCCGCCCGGAGCAGCTGGGGTGCCCTGAGAGCCAGCTGTCGAGAGAAAAAAAAAAAAAAACCCTTTTCCCCGAGGGACAGATCCAGGGGAGGCAAGAGCAGGGGACGGCAGCGTCCTGGAGAAGGGGGGAACTGGGACTAGACCCTTGCATGTGCAGGTTTGGGGTTGGGGTCTGTCTTTGTATGAGGGTGCAAAACTCTTTCCTCCTCCATCCCTGCGGAAAAGTGGTGTTGATGCAACTGCTTCTCTCCTCTTCCAGGTCCCACAGGGGAGCCTGGCTGCTCTGGGGGCCAGGAACCCCCTTTTGCATGACACAAGGGTGCAACATCAGGCTGCAGAAGCAGCAACCCGATCCAATGG